TGATTGTGAGTGAGCACGAGTGACCACGCGTGACTACGCGTTACCAAGAGTGACCACGAGTGACCACGATTGTCTATGAGCGACCACGAATGATCACTTCTTGCCACTAATTACTCGCATGATCAAGAGTAACTACTAAGCAGTAACCAGAGGAAGGAAGGAATGGTGTCATCCTCCTACTTCCCGCCACACGAGCCTTTTATCCGGTATCAATAACTCGTCACTCTTCTCCGTCAACCTCTCATTTTTGCTTTTTGTTGTTTTGTTTTTATCTTTTGTTTTAGATTTTTACGTATTTTTGGTATTTATTGCTCGTTTTCTTTCCATTCATTTCCCTAATTTCCTTCCTCCTGCCTCTGGGCGGAAACGGGCTCATTACATAACAATTCTTGACAGCGAAGTAGCTCTGGGAACTAGACTTTCAATGAAGGAAGTGATACATTGTTTGCATATGTCAGTCTCTGGGAATATGGTTTATCAACGTTGAAATCACAAGTTTTTGGATAAAGTCATCTGTTGATAATGAAATTATGATGTCAGCCAAATTTATGACTTCTTGCCCTAGATCACATGTAGCCACTTGTGGTCAATTTTGGTTGTTAATGGTCGCTCGTGGTCGTTCGCTGTCAATCGTGGTCACTCGTGTATAATTTTTGACACAACCCTCTCAAATGACGGAGATGAAGAACATGCGGACGACTGCGCTCCCGCAAGACCCAGTTTTGCAGTGCTCGACTAACTTCGATTAAAAATGCTAATGAGAAATAGACTTACATAGACTGCAGGTTTGTTAAACCTTTAAAAACTCCAGGCGGTAGATACTGAATATTGTTTTCATAAACAGCCCTTGAACGACAAAGAAAACAAATCATTACCACCATGACTTAAAGCACAGAAAACTCTAGTTGCAAACAATCTTCTAATTCCTTTATCGACTCTACCATGTCTTATTACAAAGATATCTTTATAAATTACGTGACGCTGAGAAGAAGATTGCTTAGGATCACTTTAAAAATTAGGTAATGGTAGATAGCGGTTGCCTTGCTTAATTCCAGTATGAGTACGCGCCGCTTTATGTACAGGAAAGAATTTCTACATTCTTTTCGTAATTGTCTTATTTTTTTCTGACATGTGAAATCTTGCCAGTGAGATCCGAGTTGGCGCTTGCTATCCTGGATGATATAGCAACTTCAAACTCGTGCAACGTCATACGTGATCCTAGTAACCTCCAAGGTGTTTGAATCTAAGCCAGCCAAAGCACACTAGTTTCTGTAATTCAACCAAACCTTGAGTAAAAGTGGGTCAGGGAATTAGTCTGCTCACCCTTTGCATAACGCCACGGATACGATTTAACTTATAATTTAGAAGGTTAATTATTCCTCGAGTATATGTTTTTTTTCTTTCCCAACCGCACATCCTCGAACAGAAAATTTAAATGAACCAAAAAATAAGACAGCCGCTAACGAACATTGATTTCAGATGATCAGATATCTTGTGTAAGTTCATGAATTTTTACTAGTGCAGAGACATAATTTCCGTTCGCCATTCTGTTCATATAAAATTGTTGGGTTTACTTACAGGTCTCTCAATTTGGACAGGCCTTGGAACTGGTCCCGTGACAGGGTTACGAGGCTGTTTTTCGCCGTGTATCTAGGCGATAAATGAAATGCACGAGACGCACTGTATCACTATTTAACAGTAAACATAAATTTAAATAATTGCTTGGGCTTAGAAATGTCTATCGTCAGGACCAGCTATGATTATTTATATCGTTTATTCACCTCATATAAACGTGCCTTAAATTATTTGTGCCTTGTTCTTCAGCAAACTGTTT